GGAAGTGTATAATAAGTGTGACAGTCTGAAGTAAAACACATAAGATGGCGGTAGTGTTGTTGATGTGAATATATTACACGATGGAATGCAATATTATGAATTAAATTGAGACTACTAATAATAGGTCTTTACCTATGAAATTGCCGTTTTGTATGCAATAAGAGAAAGTACTTATTTTTTCAAACTTTTTTTATTTCTGTTATTCGAAGTAATCACCCATGCAATCGACGCATCTTTGCCAACGCATTGGCAGTTTATTGATATTCTTGTAAAAATCAGCTGGACGGGAGGCAACAACAAAAATAAGTACTTTTACTTATTGCATACAAAACGGCAATTTCATAGGTAAAGGTCTAACATATTTTTTTTATAAAATGCATGGAATATTAATATATATATTTTGTTTAGGCCATTTAATGTCGATATTGTAGTAACCACGATATTTTAGTAACCATTCCAATTGAACGATGGCAACGGGTACGCGATCAGGGCCTTTTCAAGCTTAATGCAGTCTCAGTTTCGTTTTCCATTTATATTTCTTACCTGGGTTAGATAAACCTTCAGAGCAAAGCACCTTAGGCACATACTGCCATAATAAACGATGGCGCCTCCCGGGAGCCGGAGATTCTAAGGAATTTTGAACCCAAAAGTTGGAAAGCTTTTAGGTTCAAAATCCCTTCGGTAAGGATGGACAAGACTTGATATAATGGTGTCAGACATATTTGAGTGTTAAAAATTTCCATCAACGTTGAATGGGTGCAGAATAGGCCGAAGGATACCTTACTCCTGTAAATCTTGTTCCCAAGAGAAAGAAAAATAGTAGTATGTAAATAAATACTAGTATGTAATTGTCAATCGTGTTGTATTTCACATATTATATATATATATATATATATATATATATATATATATATATATATATATATATATATATATATATATATATATATATATATATATATATATATATATATATATATATATATATTTATTTTACTACATACAACTGATATAAATACATATATACTTTTTTTTGTAAATACATACATATTATACATAGAAACACCCAGACCAAATCAAACATTAAATGTTCATGCACACAAATGTTTGACTTGAGCGGGAATCAAACCCGCGACCTTTGGAATAGCAGTCCGTTACACAAACACAACAAAGCTGGTCGGCGCTGCGTCTGCCCTAGGGCTACTCTTGCCCAATATGGGTGGACCCAGCGTCGCGACAAGACGGCTGTACACGGGGGTTGTCCGGTCAATGGCGCTGTACGGTGCACCGGTGTGGGCGGCGGCTCTGACCGCCCAGAATAGGGTACGCCTCTGGCGCCCTCAGAGGGTAATGGCGGTCAGAGCCATACGCGGTTACCGCACCGTTTCTACGGAGGTGGCATGCGCGTTGGCCGGAACTCCCCCGTGGGATTTGGAGGCGGAAGTACTCGCCGAAGTTTATCGGCGAGTGGCTGACTTCCGGGCGGAGAGCGGATTTCGCCCTCCGCCCGAGGATGTGCGCGAGTGGCGCGAAGCCGCTCGCCGAGCCACGATGGCTCGTTGGTCGTTCCGGCTGGAGACTCCACGCGCTGGCTTCGCCGCCGTGGAGGCTCTCCAGCCGGTCATCGCCGAGTGGGCAGGGCGGCAGCACGGGACCCTTTCCTTCCGACTGACGCAGGTGCTTTCCGGGCACGGTTGCTTCGGAAAGTACCTGCACACGGTCGCTAGGAGGGAACTGAGTCCCGCCTGCCACCACTGCGACTGCAGTGAGGACTCGGCCCAGCACACGCTGGCGGTCTGCCCCGCATGGGCGGCGCAGCGCCGGGCCCTCACTGCAGTCATCGGAGTGGATCTCTCGCTACCGGCCGTAGTACGCTCCATGGCCGGTAGCGACAGTTGTTTAACCGCGGTCGCAACCTTCTGCGAGGTAGTAATCTCGCGGAAGGAGGCGGCGGAAAGGGCCCGGGAGGACGACCTCCACTCGGACCCGATCCGCCGCCGGCGAACCGGGCGGCGGAGGCCCGCCTACCACAGCCTCATGCCGCCCTGAGTGTGGCCGCGGGTGGACGGGGTGGGTTTCCCCTCCACCCGCATTAGTTTGGCCAGCCGCGAGGGGGCGGCGTCCGCGTGTGCCGGACGTCGCCTAAAGAGAGGAAAAATATTAAGACGGAGCCCGCACCAGGAGCGGGCTGGCGCTAGGAGGGGTCCGGATGTCTTAACAACAGCTGTTCCCGGATCCCTCCTGTTACAGGCGCAGAGTGGCACACCGTGTGGTTTTAGTCGGTCCGAGTCCGACACACCACCCCGCCGCAAACCCCGGAGGGGTGACGGTCCGAGGGGATTTCCACACGTTAAAAAAAAAAAAAAAAAAAAAAAAAGGGTTTGTGTTAAGTTTTCCTTCTCTTTTAAGTGCTGTTGTTATTCGTAGTTTGCTCCCTTAGTCGGCTCTTACGACACCCATGGGATGAACAGGGGTGGTGACACTTCGTATTCTTAATCCGTCACCACACGGACAAAGTTGAGTAAGAACCGAAACCAAGGTTCAATCAATTTGAAAACCTCTATCTTTTTGGAGTCTCTGTATAAAATACATTTCTGGTATTTAATCTATTTTTCATCGCGTGGAAAACTCCAAGGTTAATCGTCTCCCCGGAGTTCACTGTGAAGTAGTATGTCAGTATTTAACCGACTAAAACGCATGGTGTTCTTATGTGAGTATATAGAAAAAAGTCCCCGAGAACTCTAGCAGACCTTGTCCGCCCTTAGCAGCCACACCATTGTGTGTAACAGGCCCTCCTTCCGATGTAGATAAGTGCATCCACATAATATCACTGTCTCAGGTCAGCTACTGATAGAGTAAAGGGCAGATTCAAAATAACCCAGAGGCCAGCGCCAATGAAGGTCGGACAGCATTCTGCACCGTCGTGCCTAATGCCACTTCGAGACAGGAGCGTACCAGCATTTTTATGTTTCCTTTCCTCTTTAATGGACATCACTTTCTCACAAAGAGAGTCGGCAGTTTTAATTACTCAAAGTAATAATATTCTTATTGATATGTAAAAAAAAGGAAAGAAATCACTCCAACTCACTTTTTTTTTCTTTTACAATTTTATGACCAAAATACCTAATCAATTGAGGACATTTCAGTCTCACCTTAGTACATATTATGCAATTTCTACTAAGTGAGAGTTCATACTCTAGTACTCTAGACAGGCCTTGTCTCTATCGTTCCTATTTCAAAAAAAGTAGATGTAGTATTATTTTCTGTCTTTTAATTATATTTACACCAATTAATTATACAATTATATCCATAAAGTTCACAATTAATGACAGCGCATGTGATCATAATTCATAAATAATTGCTTTGATAATAGTTAATGAAGTTGACCGCATGTACAAATATAAAGAGGGCAATGGGTAGTAAATTAACTTATTAATTATGTACAACATGTAACACTTAAAGTGAAGGATTCCATATAAATGGAATTAGGGCAGGTGAGAATTATTCCAGGTTTGTTTAAAGTAATAAGTAGTTTTTTTTTTCTTTTTTTAACTTCACACATCTCACACACGGCTGTCTAATCCCAAACTAGACAGAGCCTGTGCCATGATAACCAGACTGCTGAGAAACATACTTGTATATTTCTCAATACATAAATATTATAGATGAATTACACCCAGATACAGAACAAACGATCGTGCTCATCACATAAATATTTGTTCTGGGTGGGAATCGAACCCACGACCTCCGGTTTAGCAGTCAGGGTCACTAACCCCTAGACTAACAGGCCCGTCAAAGTAGTGATGTGAAAGTACTATTTATATTAAACTAGTGCTGTTGTTCTGCCTAGTCAATTAGTGTTACAACTTAAATGGTTCTAATGTCAGAGTGAAAAAAAAAATCGGACAAAAGTGTCATGACTATGGCCTATGAACTAATTAAATTTAAATTTGAATTAAAAACTTTGATCAGTTTAGGTTTGAAATTTAATCATCTGGTCGTTTCCAATCTCGGGAATCGATTCTTAAGTTTTAACCCGTTATGTGATTTTTAATCGATATAACAAACTGCGAGTGTGACCAGTACACACAAGTTTCTATATAAATTTGTGTTTTGATGGGGCTTCTATTTCGGAAATGGTCCTTCAAAGATAATTGACCATTTCTTCTTAGCAACAATTTCAAATTTGCAACTCAAAAAAACTCCAACGCATCCATTGGTCCATAATAATCATATCTCTAAGCTTTGAATATAAGTTTTAAAACCGGTAAATAATTGTTTTAAATGTTATAACTTAGCATGTGTTGCATGATATATATAATATACTCGTAAAGTTTGTCTATCAATCGGACTTCTAACTTTATAGGAAAACTCAGATTCGTATTTGTTCAGTTTTTTTTACTTCATTATGACGAACCTAAGCCCTGCATTTACCTTTTTTTTTGTTGACGTTTTGGAAAATCCCTTTGGATCTCCTGCTCTTCGGGGATTCAGGAGCCAGGAATATGTAGTGATTCCACTAAAAACCACCCTGACGGCCGAACTCAAGTCAATAATACTCTAGGAGGACCTGGACCCTATTATTTCAGGTCCTCTCGGCATTAACACCATGCCTAATCAGGCCCTGTCCCCGGGAAAAACACTTCCCCCCTCCTGAATCACGACGTCGATCGACGACGACGTCAATCCTATCCCCTATCGAAGCAATCTATCTGCACCCAGAGGTCCCCACCCTTAACAGTAGCAGCGAATGTAGTAAAAATATCATAGTAATATTTTTACTATATTCGATGCCACTGCCCTAACGGTGATGTCACACTTCCATGTAATAACATGAAATTAATTAAAGTTGATAAAATTTTGCTAATTACTTAAGAATTTCCCTACGCTCCAATACAAACCATTAACCCAATTAATGAAAGGAACATCGCACGTTTATAGTTTTAGTTGTGAAAGTGCTATATCCGTGGCAGGACGCAAAAGGACTTTAGTTTGCCATCATGGAGTAAGTACTAATTAGTAATTTATAGAAATTATCAAACAATTATAATTTACAGCATTCTTACAAATTAGTCATTTCATAAAGAATGTTCGTCAAGGTGAACTAGAAATGATTTTATTATGTTTTTTGAGTGTCCAATGTCATGTTCTTTTAAGGAAATTGTTCTAGTGTTATAAAAATAAGCACTGAGCATCGAGCGTTGAGCGCTAAGTCAACGCTTTTGAGCGTTCAAGACTCGAGCTTTAAACGCTTGAACCTTTAAGACTCGCGAGCGTTGAAGACTGCGTTGAGAAGTTCCAACATGTTTCACGTTTAAAATTATTAAAGTTTTTAACACCATTAATGTTAAAAAAACAACCGACCTATGGGGAAATTCTGTATTAATTACTAAGACAATTATATTTCTGGTAGCTAATCAATTGTCATTTATATCATGTCATTCAAATCTGGTAGTGCATCTGGCCCAACTAATTTTAGACCTATCTCAGTACTACCAGTATTTAGCAAAATTAAAAAAAAGGTGTATGATCAATTGCATAGTTTTTTTAATAATAATAATTTATTACACAATAGACAATTTTTGTTTTACAAGGGGTCGCTCCACAACTAATGGTAGTGTTGAGCTAGTAAAACATATATTTGATGCCTGGGAGGATGCCATCGATTCTCTAGGTATCTTTTCCGATTTATCTAAAGCTTTTGACTGTGTTGTTCATGAAACGCAGATCAGAAAGTTAAAGCATTATGGTATCATAAATAAAGCATTGGAACTTCTTGCTTCATAACTGAATAATAGGTTTCAGAAAGTTGATATAAATGGTTAGCGGTCTCCAGGCTCTGTAGTAGAAATGGACGTTCCACAAGGTTCTATTCTCGGCCCTGTTTTTTTAGAATATATTAACAACTTACCTCACCTCATCAAGGAAAAACTCGAGATTGTGTTGTTTGCAGATGATACATAACTATTATTTATACTATAACGGACACTTACCAATTTCACAAACATTCATTGTTTTGATGTCAATAAATTTGCTTTTAAATGAAAAAAACCAAGTGCATACGTTTCTATATGCCGATCGTCAAGCCAGTGAAAACTACTGTCATACTACAGTGGGGCCCACATATTGATAAATTATCGAGTAAACTCAGCTCAGCAGCATACGCAGTAAGAAAAATTCGAGAGTTGACTGATGTTGATACAGCACGACTTGTTTACTTCAGTTATTTTCATAGCATAATGTCGTACGGCATTGGGGGGAATAACCACTGTGGGGGAATGCTGCAGACATTCAAATTATTTTGTACTGCAAAAGAGAGTGATTCGAGCAATTTATAATTTAGGCAATCGTTGTTCATTGAGGCAAAAAATTAACGCGATAAACATACTGACAGTGGCATGTCAAAACATACATGAAAATGTAATATATGTTCATAAAAACAAGGATAGCTTTTCGAAAAAAGGAATGTACATTCTATAACTACCAGAAATAGAAATAAACTTGTAGCACCTGCCTCTAGGCTCCAAAAGATAAGCAAGTCGTTTCGAGGTCAATGTGGCCGATTTCATAATAAAATCCCAAATAATATTCAAGACTTAAGTATTAACAAATTTTTCCGCAGTAAAACGTAAATTATGTCAGATAGCCTATTATTCAATTTTGGCTTACATAGAAGATAAAAATGCTTGGAATTAATTTAGCACAGGCTCTTTCTTAAGTGAAAATGTGATGTGGGTCTAGTATGTTTTTTATTATGTTTTTTTTTTCTAAATTTTATGTTTTACTTCAGTTTCTTTTTCATCCGATCTTTTTTCTATTTTTTTTACCTTTTAGTCCTTAATAACGGACATACTAGCACACATCAAAACAATGTTGTGGTATATTTAATGATATTATTGTAATATAATAATTGCAAAAGAGCGGCCATGAGTTTATTTGCCCTTTCTTCTCATAAGTTGTAGATCGACACAGGATACAAGATATTTTATTTGCATTAACATGTGAAAGATGTTAAATAATATTGCCTGATCGACATGTTTGACCGTTACCGGTGTACAAATATAAAATTAATTTAACAATATCATTTTTCTACATGCCACATAAAATCTTTTATAACATTAAAAAAAAACAATTACAAAGAAAGGACTCGAATATCATGATTATAGGTATACATTATCAACTATTAACCGTCTACGTTAATTCATTTAATCTAAAACATTCAATTTTCAACATAAATATCTATATTTACTGCAATCAATAATCCATCAATCACACAAAAAAGCGCAAAAAAACAGTTAAAATAATTTGTAACTTGGCTGATATAAATATCATGATACATTATATTATTATGGTTATAAAGTGTTGTCATTCAAGAAATCCACTAGTCTAAAATAACAATTTTCAGCTAATAATATTTTAAATTTCGTCTTAAATTCATTCATGTTCAAGATCTTAATATATTTGGGAATTTTGTTAAATATCAACGGCGCCTTACATACGACACTTTTATGCATCAGTGCTATTTTTGCTGGATGGACACAAAGTCTATCATTGTCGCGGCATTGTCTTAAATTGTCCGATAGCTTAGGAAATAAGTGAGGACTTTTTTTTACTAATAGATATAGGGACGGTAGAGTGAGAATATTGTATTTTGTAAAAAGCGGATTACAACTTTCACTACTTGGGATTCCGAACATGGCTCGAATGCATCGCTTTTGCATTTTAAAGATTACATCTTTACTAGTCGAATTTGCCCAGAAAATAATGCCATATCTCAGGACCGACTCAACAAGGCCATAATATGCTGAGAGAGAGATTTTGAGATTTTGTATAACTTTCATTTTTATTAAATTTATTTTGCTTACTATTTGAAAAAACAGAGACTGTTGCTATTGTGTGTTGATCTATGACTTTAGTCTACATAAAAGACGATTTCAAACAATTTCTATGTTTTTTATGATATACTCGTAAATGTATTTTGAGTTTAAGTTTGAGAACAAAGTGACAAAATAGAGTAAATTTTTCCGATTGGATTTGAATACATAAATTTTCTATGTGTTTTTATAGTACACGATTGGACTTAATAATATTCTTCTATTGCAGGGATTTTATTTATTACGTATTTGAAACATTCCAAGTATAATGTAAAAAAATGGTTTTAAATTCCAGCGAAGATATCGAGGAAGGTTCAGTTGTCATTACTAATATTTATGGAGATGTTTGTGTTCGAAAAAAAGCAAGAAGAAAACGACAAAAAGCACTTGTACAGGATATGTTTTACGATTACGCAACTAATACCACTCTTCACGGACTATCGTATACAACTAAAAGAGGCCTTACTATCATTGAAAAGTAAGATATACAAACACTCTTAGACTTTTTTTTTATGGTATAAGGGGGCAAACGAGGAGACGGGTCACCTGATGGTGAGCAACTACCGCCGCCCATGGACACCTGGAACTCAAAAGTCACAGTCAGCGTAAGGGGGGATTTGTGCTCCGGTAACCTCACTCACTCAGTGAAAGGCAACGAAATAATTGCTTAACACCGGTTTTCTGTGAGGCCGTGGTATCACTCCGGTCGAGCCGGCCCATTCGTGCCGAAGCATGGCTCTCCCACATTATTAATCATGTTGAAATTTTTAATAGATCTTTCGTACAATATTTTGGTCAACTCTGTTAAGCTGTTTTTAACGCTTGAGAAGAAGAGCTTACAGTTCTTCCTCTTACAATTCATAAGAGAACAAAGAAGGTAAATTAGAGCGCGATTAATAGAGCTTTATCACTAAAGCCGACGATTGCCAGAAGGAAGTCGCATGTCATTTTAAAATGAAGTAATTACATTCAGCAAATGAATGATGCTAGAGATTGCTTGTGGTCTTGGGTAAATTTACCTGTACTAAAACTAGGTTTTTTTATGTGTATTTATGTATCCTAGATTTATTTGTGTCTATTCCGAAGTTATTAAAATTACCTTGGGAAATTTTCTTCTCTCTTCTCGTCTCTCATACTAACTCAGTTTAATTTTTGCAAGAAAGTAGACTATTATTTTCTTGTTTATATCAAAATTTGTAAATAATCGAACAGCGACAGTCTAAATGTTAAATAACCTTAATTTTGGGTAATATTTTCAGGATCTTCTGGCTGATAACTTTCCTTGCAAGCATTTGTTTATGTACTTATTTAATCAACAATGTTTGGATAAAGTGGAAAACAAGTCCTGTCATAGTTACCGTTAGTGAAAAACTTGTGCCAGTAAGAACGGTAATTAATTATTTTATGCCAATGCCTAAAATGAAATAAAAAAAAACTATCTAAACGCATCTTTAATTTATTCTCTAGGTGCCATTTCCATCAGTGCTGATTTGTCCACAGTCAAAAACGAAAGCAACGGTATACAACTTTACAGCAGAAAAACTAAGGCTTTATAATTTTTTAATGCAGCCTAGAACTGATTCAGGCAATACAACTTCGTATGTATTACCTGGCGTAATTAAATGAAAATAAATTGATAAAAGACATTCCTGCAGAAACATTTGATTAATACTAGAAATCCCATTTGCAGCACTGAAATGGAATTTGCTAAATTTCAAGATGTTGCAAATGTATGCGGAGGATTTTACGGGTACCCTGAGCATCTTAAATTCTTGAATCGAATGTACTCAGATGAAACAGTAGCAAGAAGTATATATGAAGTAACTGAACACATTTTCATTTCTAACATTTTATTCAAAATAAGTAATCTACTAGTATCAAAGCATTCCCGATGTAATGAATGGAGTTTCTTGATGACTAATAAATTTTACTAAGTTTTGTTTCGTCGGCACTACGTAGAAGAGATATGAGCTCATTGACAAGATTGCAGCTAACATATTCCAACTAAAAAAACTAAATTAAAACTTGTCTTGCACGCGTGTAGAACTTGGAAATTAAAAATTAATTATGAAATGATTGCCAACTTGATAAGACGCCGAATGTTTATATTTTGTAACATTTTAAAACATAAATTCTTAAAAAAATTGAAACAGCCCCATATTTGAGGGATTTTTTTCTTTGTTTAATACAATACTCGTATTATGTTCGTATTACATTAGATCTTATTTTCAGGTGGCACCCAAAAAAGATGATATTTTTGAAGATTGTGTATTTTGGGGCAAGTATGATTTTGGTTGTGCTGCAATATCAGAAACACTTACCAGTGAAGGATTGTGCTTCAGCATCAACACGCTAGCGGCCCAGGATATATTACGCAATAGCAGGTATTTCTAAAATATCTTACAGTATTGGGTATAATCGTAGTATTTATTCTTATAAAAAGAATTTCTAGGTTAAACAAGACAAAGACTATCCGTGTGGTGACGGATTAAGAATACGGAATGTCATCTCGTGGGTGTCGTAAAAGGCGACTAGGGGACCAAACTACAAGACAACAGCACTGCAAAGAGAAAGAAAACTTGAAACAAACCCTATACCAACACGTCTGACCAGCGTGGTATAGTAGGCTAAAACCTCCTTTCTAATGAGAGGCCTATGTCTAACAGTGGACTATTAAAGGCTGTTGATGTGATGATGAAACAAGACAATGAATATGCTGACTATATCAAATTCAGCAAAGACATTTTTTTTTCTTTTTGTGGGTAGGTGTAGAAAAGTGCACACATAATACTATATTATATATTTATTTGATGTAAAATTTATACATTTTCTTAAAAGTGATATAAATATTTAAGTACTATTTTCCATACCATAAAATTACACTACTTTTGTTTGTGCCAGTTTATGATGCATTAAGCGTGCATGATGTGTACAAAGAAAAAAAAAATGACATTAACCATGGACTTGAGTAAAGAAGTCATGTTTTAGGCTTATGAAGGATATTTTTTTTTTTTCTTTTTTTTTCTTTTAAAAAGACAACGCCCGCATTAGGAATAAATCCTGTGTCGCGGGGGACTTTACAAACATACATGAAACGGACACAAAGAACACCCAGACTCAGAACAACAATTTGTGGATCACACAAAGTGTCGTCCCATGTGGGGTTTGAACCCACAACACTCGACGTAGTAGGAAGCGGCGTGGCGACCGCTTAAACCACTACGCCATCCGTGCAGTCAAATTGTAGTTCATGTGCAAATAACACAGCGCTGTCTAGTTTCAAACTGAGCAGAGCTTGTACTATGAAAGCTAGATTGACTGATAGAATACTTAAATACTTGTTTCTTGTAAATCCATTCATATTATGCATAGAAAGCACCCAAACCCCGAAATAAATATTTGCCGATCATACAAACATTTGGTCCGACCCGGGAATCGAACCAAAGACCTCAGCACTGCACCACCGAGGCAGTCTGAATATATTAAGTAGTTTTAGACAAATTATTATAATATTTACAGTATAAACAATAGCATTCCATACCTGAGCGCCAACAAATCGGCCGTTAATTGGACAGATGAACATGGATATACTGACTTTGGTCCTCACGTCTATCCTGTTCCAGGAAAGGTGAGAATAATTGCAAATAGTTCAAGGTTTTATTTTTTTAGTGATTCTATGTTTTTTATGGTGAGGGGGGGGGGGGCAGCATGCAGACGTACCGCCGCCCATAGACACCTACAACTCAAGAGTCTCAAGTCGTCAATCACTCGGTGAAAAGCAAAAAAAAATTATAGTCGGGCGAAAGTTAAGTGCTTTGTTAGATAGCAATCAGCTGTGGTCATTAACAACTTCAATCAGTTTGCAAATGATACTGAATATAAAGTCATTGTCAGACGACACCAGTCAGGGAAAATTAATTTTGCATCGCATTTTGATTTGGTAGAGTTTTTATCATTTACCAGCTTTTGCCACCAACCTAAACTTTTACAATTGCTTGTAGGAAAATAGAGCATCTCCCGACATACAAATAATAATGAAGACTTCTTTAATAGATCGCGACCTAATGTGCAATACTGTAAATTCTGGATATAAGGTAAGTATAATTATGTTTTACTATCAGTAACATCTTTCAGTGAATTTTGATAAAATTAAGAAAAAAACAAGATTTTCTAGACTCCCAAGTACAAATTAGGGATCAGTGGTACTCTATAAAATGACTAACAGATAGTCGCTTGCAAATAAGTACCGTTCTCGAACACACAAATTATTTGGCATCAGCAAATAAGTCTAGTGTTGCAGTTGTACCAGAAAAGGAGATCGGTATGATAGAGACGATCAATAAACACAGGCACATCCTAAGCACTTTTAATCACTAAATTCGAACTATGCATGTGTGTACTGAATCCAAAACGTCTCATACCCTGATACCGATTTTTTCCAGGTCTTTATTCAACATCCAGCAGATTTACCACAGTCAAGTGTATATTATTTTGCTGTTCTGAATAAGCAGGTGTCATCAATGGCACTCAGTTTTAGCGTACTGAATACATCGGAATCTTTAATTAAATACGATCCAGAAATGTAAGATATCGTTTGTTTGCCTTTACGTTACTAAATTGAATACAAAAAAAAGCAAATTTAACCCAATTCAAAAAAAGAAATAGGTTTTCAATGCGTTTGGATTTATTTCCATATTTATTTTATTTACCACGGCCGCACAGAAAACCGGTGTTAAGCAATTCTTTCGTTGCCTTTCACTGAGTGAGTGAGGTTACCGGAGCCTAAATCTCCCCTCCCGCTGACTTGAGCAGGTGGGACTAGAAGGGCAGCAAAAAGCAAGCAGTCCATACCCTACCCGTACTATACCCTTATCCCAATTTTATTTCGGGTCGGCGCCATCTTACTGTTTACTCCCTTCGCTATACTCATTCTTTTCATTCAAAAATTTTTCAAAGTAAGTTTTCCTCTTCATCTTTTATACATCTCACATGCTTTAGGACTTTTGCTCTTTCTTCTCGTTTTTTGTAATGCGGTAGAGTTCTTTTTGACCTCTAGGTTCATGTAGGTGTTGAAACATTTTGGTCCAGACGAACCTGAACCACTGTGCCGCGGCGCAGGATCTCTTCCTGCAAACCATGGCACAGTGGTCGATAGGTGTTGCCGTAGTCGCGGAGCCCTATTCTGTCCCTCCCCGTCCAAACTGGATGGGTGACTGGGACGGCTCCGTGGCAGTCGTCGGTTCCACGACGGCTCATTCCCCGCCCTTGTCGCTAAGAGACAAGGGCACTGGATATGTTGCCGTCGAGTGGGGGGGGGATCACCATATATGGTGTCTATTTCTCCCCCAACCGGAGTTTGAACGACTTCGAGGTTTTCCTAACCAGCTTGGAGACCTCGATACGGCGACTAGCGTCTGGGCACGTCCTTGTGCTGGGGGACTTCAACGCAAAGTCCATTGCGTGGGGTTCCCCCAGGACGGACGCCAGGGGCGAGGCCGTAGAGGAGTGGGCGGCCTCGGTGGGCCTCTGTCTTCTAAACAGAGGCTCCACCAACACGTGCGTGCGACAGCAGGGGGGGTCGATAGTGGACCTTTCGTTCGCTACCCCTGTCCTCGCCGCACGAGTAAGGAACTGGTGTGTCCTGGAAGAGGTTGAGACGCTCTCGGATCACCTGTATATCCGATTTGAGCTCTCCCGGACCCAGGACTCCAGTAGGGGTCACGTGGCGCGGCGTTTATCCCGCTTTCCGCGGTGGGCTGTTGCCAGGCTGAACCGGGACCTACTAGAGGAGGCAGCCATAATTCACTCGTGGCTGTCTCCTCAGGCTCCGACCGAGGAGGTCGACGTGGGGGCTGGCCGCTTTCGCGATGCGATTACGCATGTATGCGATGCGGCCATGCCCCGCGTTCGAGGTCGTCGGCCTCCAAGGAAGGAGGTCTACTGGTGGTCCCAGGAGCTGGCGGACCTCCGTGCGGCCTGTACACGTGCCCGGAGGTCCTACACGCGCAGTCGGCGGCGTCACCGTGGAGACGGTGAGGAGGACCGGCTTCATGAGGAGTACCGACGGGCGCGGAAAACTCTGAAGCTGGCCATTAGCCGCGCCAAAGAGGAAAAAAGACAGGAGATGCTGGAGGGCCTTAATCGTGACCCCTGGGGTCGCCCTTACCGCGCGGTGCGACAAAAGCTCCGCGCGTCGGGCCCCCCCCTTACGGAGACTCTCCAGCCCAGCTTCCTGCGAGAAGTGGTTGAGGGCCTTTTCCCACAACGGGCGGAACACACTCCCCCGTCGATGGCCTCCCTGGCCGGAGACGACGGGGAGCACGGGGAGGACAATGTTCCGCCCGTCCGGGAATCGGAGGTAGGGGCGGCTGTTCTACGGATCCGTTCCAAGAACACCGCCCCTGGGCCAGACGGGGTACCGGCCCGAGTGCTGGCCCTGGCCCTCAACCACATGGCAGACCGCCTCGGGGAGGTGTTCGACGCTAGCTTGGCGTCGGGACGCTTCCCTGAGTGCTGGAAGAGCGGGAAGCTGGTCCTACTGACGAAGCCGGGACGGCCTGCCGATTCGGTCGCGGCCTATAGGCCCATCGTGCTGCTGGACGAGGCGGGCAAATTGTTTGAGAGGGTTCTTTCTGCCCGCATCGTCCGGCACCTCTGCGAGGTGGGCCCCGATCTGTCGGACGCCCAATTTGGTTTTCGGGCGGGGCGTTCGACAGTCGACGCCGTGTTGCGCCTGAGGGCCGTGACCGAAGAGGCCGTGAGCTGTGGCGGCGTGCTGTTGGCGGTGTCATTAGACATCGCCAACGCATTCAATAGTCTGCCATTCAGCTGCATCAGGGAAGCACTCCACTATCATGGGGTGCCAAAGTACCTGAGGCGGCTGGTGGCAGACTATTTAGAGGAGCGTACCGTCGTGTACGAGGACCGAGAAGGTAATCTGAGGTGTCGGCCCATGTCGTGCGGTGTTCCACAGGGGTCTGTTCTTGGACCCCTCTTGTGGAACATAGGGTACGACTGGGCCCTTCGCGCCGATTTCCCCCCCGGGCTGGGTGTAATCTGTTACGCAGACGATACCCTCGTGACAGCCCGGGGGGCAAACTTCCAAGAGGCGGCGCGCCTGGCCACAGGGGGAGTCTCCCTGGTGGTCGGGCGCATTGAGGCGCTGGGCTTACGGGTGGCCCTAGATAAGACGGAGGCCCTGTTATTCCATGGGCCCCGTCGTGGTCCACCCCCTGGCGCCTCAATAGTGGTCAACTCGGTCCTCGTACCGGTTCGGGCCCAGATGAAATATCTGGGCCTGATCCTCGACGGGAGGTGGCTCTTCGACGAGCACTTCCGACAGCTTGCTCCAAAGCTGGTCGGCGCTGCGTCTGCCCTAGGGCGACTTTTGCCCAATATGGGTGGACCCAGCGTCGCGACAAGACGGCTGTACACGGGGGTTGTCCGGTCAATGGCACTGTACGGTGCACCGGTGTGGGCGGCGGCTCTGACCGCCCAGAATAGGGTACGCCTCTGGCGCCCTCAGAGGGTAATGGCGGTCAGAGCCATACGCGGTTACCGCACCGTTTCGACGGAGGTGGCGTGCGCATTGGCCGGAACTCCCCCGTGGGATTTGGAGGCGGAAGTGCTCGCCGAAGTTTATCGGCGAGTGGCTGACTTCCGGGCGGAGAGCGGATTTCGCCCTCCGCCCGAGGATGTGCGCGAGTGGCGCGAAGCCGCTCGCCGAGCCACGATGGCTCGTTGGTCGTTCCGGCTGGAGACTCCACGCGCTGGCTTCGCCGCCGTGGAGGCTCTCCAGCCGGTCATCGCCGAGTGGGCAGGGCGGCAGCACGGGACCCTTTCCTTCCGGCTGACGCAGGTGCTTTCCGGGCATGGTTGCTTCGGAAAGTACCTGCACACGGTCGCTAGGAGGGAACTGAGTCCCGCCTGCCACCACTGCGACTGCAGTGAGGACTCGGCCCAGCACACGCTGGCGGTCTGCCCCGCATGGGCGGCGCAGCGCCGGGCCCTCACTGCAGTCATCGGAGTGGATCTCTCGCTACCGGCCGTAGTACGCTCCATGGCCGGTAGCGACAGTTGTTTTACCGCGGTCGCAACCTTCTGCGAGGTAGTAATCTCGCGGAAGGAGGCGGCGGAGAGGGCCCGGGAGGACGACCTCCACTCGGACCCGATCCGCCGCCGGCGAACCGGGCGGCGGAGGCCCGCCTACCACAGCCTCATGCCGCCCTGAGTGTGGCCGCGGGTGGACGGGGTGGGTTTCCCCTCTACCCGCATTAGTTGGCCAGCCGCGAGGGGGCGGCGTCCGCGTGTGCCGGACGTCGCCTAAAGAGAGGAAAATGTATTGAGACGGAGCCCGCACCAGGAGCGGGCTGGCGCTAGGAGGGGTCCGGATGTCTTAACAACAGCTGTTCCCGGATCCCTCCTGTTACAGGCGCAGAGTGGCACACCGTGTGGTTTTAGTCGGTCCGAGTCCGACACACCACCCCGCCGCAAACCCCGGAGGGGTGACGGTCCGAGGGGATTTCCACACGTTAAAAAAAAAAAAAAAAAAAAAAAGGTGTTGAAACATTTTGAATTTAGCTTGAGCTCTGGCTACCGCTACCGCTTTTTTTTTTTGCCTTTTTCTTCCACTCTTTATATTCATTCATTTTGACTCTCTTTTCTTTACGGGCTTTCTGTACCTCTTCATTCCACTACCATATATCACTTTCAATAACACATTATCCTTTCGTGTCCCCAAATACTTCTTTTGCAAAGGACATGAAGTAACATTTTGGTAGACTAAGTTGTAGTTTATTAACAACACAGTACAGTAGTAGTATGCAATCCTGAATGTTCGTGCAGGTCTTATAGATTTTTAGCATATTTGATTTTTAGCATAAATGAGTAATTTAGAGTCGACTATAAAGGTTCTAATATCGCTTATGAACAAAATAAAAAGCAACGGGCCTAGTACTGAACCCTGGGGCACACCGGACTCAACGACCGTGTAATCGGACTCATAACCATTGACAACGATCTTTTGAGTTCTACGGAATATGTATGATGTGAACCATCTAAGTAAATTACCTCTGATGCCATTGAAGGCAATATTGTCCAAAAGCAATTTGTGGTGCACCTTTTCAAAAGCTTTCTGAAAGGCAGGGTATACAGCATCAATCTGGATGCCCTTATCCATGTTCTCAAATAAAAATTGGGTAAAGATCCATAAATTTGTAATAGTAGATCGGGATTGAACAAATCCATGTTGTTCGGGAATAACGAGATGACTCAGTTGAGGAAATAATTGACCGTGTACTAGACTTTCGAAAAGCTTGGACAAGGTAGACAGTATGGATGTAGCCATAGTTTACTATATTACTTTTGTCTCTACTTTTATAAATTAGTGTGATGAAAGCCCATTTCCAGACGCACGGAAATACCATTTCAATGTAATGTGGATGCATTATGCTGTGTGCTTAAAAAACATAGGTGGAAGACCATCCGGACCTCGCTCCTTAGTTAGTTCTAATGACGGCAGTGACTTCAATATGACATTCTTTTTGAGATAGATGTAACAGTTGCAAGAAGATATCTCAGCAAGTTCATTAGGGGGTGACCAAATCTGAGCGTCAAAGTTAGATGGTTCATGAACCGAGTTAAAGAAGGTGGAAAATAATAAGCAGTTTTCTTTGAGATTGTTAGAATATATATTTTTTATAACACAAGTTATCAGGAAGACTACTGTCCTTCTTGCGTTCTGAAGTGTGCGACCAAAAGTGCTTAACATTGTGGGGTGTGCTATCTTCAAAAGATGATATATACTTATTGAAACATTGTTCAGATAGTTGTTTGAAATGTTTTCGGTAGATGGAGAATTTTTCATTATCTGATAGTTTTCGAAGTTTTTTCCACCTCACCCAAGCACGTTCCTTTTGTTTAAAATTTTTAATGAGAGGAGCAGTAAACCACACAGGAAATGCAATTGATCTAAGTCGTATGAGTGGGACATGCAATCGAATAATACCATAGAAATATTCCTAAAAAACATCTACTGCTCGGTCACCGGTGAGATGAAGAAATAGTTTATTCCAATTTTATTTAGTTCTGCAATTATTTCTTGGCTTAGCTTTATAATAATTGTATTTATTTGCGCTTCTGTGTACTGTGTTTCCAGTGAGGTCAAGATAGTAAATGTAGGATGGTGATTTTCAGGCTGGAGTAACGCAATATCTGACTCTAATTTGCATTCGGTATTACTGATGATTAAGTCTAAAATAAAATAAAACAATAATACCCTAATGAATAATAAACTGATATTTTATTATTACAGACGACAATGTTACTTCCCAGGCGAAAGGTATTTAAAATATTTCAAAATATACACGGCAAACAATTGTAAAATTGAGTGTCTAGCTAACGTTACATTCAATCTGTGTAATTGTGTAGCATTTTATATGCCTCGTAAGTTATATTTATATACATAGATCTTGTTTGTTTTACATCCGATTCTTACTATTTGATCATCCCTTTTAATTAAATATTTTCAGATGAAAGTAAAACAATTTGTACAGAACTTAGCCAGGGTTGTATGAATTTAGCAAGAGGTAATAATAATAATAATGACAATATTTTTCGTTTAGTACCAGTATATATGTATGAATAATACAATAATTTTATTATAATTTAAGATAAAATGGTTGAGATTGAAGCCACTGATCCAAACAGAACATGCCGTTGTCTTCCTTCATGTAACAGTGTTGATTACGAAGCAGAAATCCTCAAAACAGATTATAATCTGAAGGATCTGTTACAAGTAGTTTATAATGTACGCAATCTAACAGTTGATGATGAGTAAGTTACATAAACTTATTGAGAATCTGCACAAGACTTGCTTGCAACTACAAAATAAAAACAATAGTTGATTATGTATGACTAGCCTGTTGGTCTAGTGGTTAGTGACACTGACTGCTACGCCAGAGGTCGTGGGTTCGATTCCCTACCACGACAAATAACACGTACTGTAGTTTATTTACACTGTTAGCTTTTGCTCAGGGCTGTGCTATTCTAGACTATAATCTATGTATGTGCCAAATCTCGTCCAGATCCAGAAAGCTGTTTTGGCGTGATTAAGTTACGTTTTGAAAAGTAAAAAAAATTGTTGTCTAAATGATATTATTGTTGATAGAGAATATAATTATACTGAGAGTTTGGAATCGATAACTTAAAAAAAATGATTCCCCATACAAACTTGCACCCCGTTTTAAAGGTAGTTTAAAAAAAAATAGTACTTACCATATTTTTTTTACTTTTACTAAAGAGTTACTACCCAAAATTTCAGATACATTTTCAGCTCCCATTTTACACCCTTAGGGGTTTAATTTTTGAAAATCCTTTCTTAATGCACACCTACGTCACCTAAGACACATTTGTGCAAAATTTCATTCTTCTAGACCTAGCGGTTTCAGCTGTGTGTTGATCTATCAGTGAGTGAATTAGTCTTTCAGTTTCTTCTTTTATAGATAAAAAAACTAACAAGAATTCTAAATAAAATACAGCACAAATAAGAAACACACGGTATAAAGAAAAGGTCATATATTTAAGGGTGAGCAAAAATAACTTTTTACTGTATTTTTGCTCTAACCCTAGAGATACACCTAAGTTTTATATGTTTACGAGTATGTGTATACTTTTTTAATTATACATCAGCTTACATGAACTAGAACCAACGTCGGGATCGTTCTTTTTCTCCACGTAGTCCTCTGACTAGCAGAGGATAGATGACTCTATTTTTATTGCTTATTATTTTTCAAAACTCCAGTTAGTAATGGTAATAGCGAGTTACCTGATCAATGCTGTCTTAAATGTATAAGAGGTTTAACGATGTTTCATTGTTCATTTGTGTCTATATTTTAGCACCCAGTATTCAAAATTGGAGATGTACTTCAAGCGGTCGCGTTTTGTATCGATGCATCGCTCCGAACTTTTTGGTTTGACTGACTTTCTCGCCAACATCGGAGGACTCCTCGGTCTCTTCTTAGGGTTCTCCTTTTTGAGCCTTGTTGAACTATTCTATTTTCTTACACTAAGGTAACACATTTTATTATTTATAGACATACTTTTATGTATATTTGAATGCTAAGTTGGTTTGTGTAGGCTTCTAATACTCAAAAAGTTCAGCAGAGATTGAGCTCAAATTTTGACACGAAGATGATTTTTATCTAAAAGACAATGTGCCACAGCTGGCAGGGTATAGTTAGTAGTACATTATTTTTTTAAAGTGGAAATGTTATTGAACTGTAATTAATAAGGTTTAGCATCGTTGAGCATAAGAACCCAAAGGACAGCTAGAAAACAATTTCGAAAACAACTCAGTAGAATATCACGATGTAGAATATAATTTGTAGAAATTTTGCAGAGACTATGTAGACATAAGATAAATTAAAATTGTGTTTTTCAGACTTTGGTGTACTTTGAAAAAGGATCTGAAACAAGAAAAACTAGAAAGGCAGAATACTATAGTTAGAAAATTCTAACAACATGGTACATGTATATTTTGAGCATAAGAATTCTCCTTTTTTTATAAGGTTTTAATAAACTTACCATTTTTGTAATTACCTACGTATGTATATTGGTTACAAATCTTGAAAAATAAATTATATTCACTTTGTCCAATTGAGCTCAAATTTGATGTACATATGTATGTATCATCAATGACAATTCAATATGGTACCATGCAGCTGTTCTGGTGCTGGAGACTGAAGAATGCTATAGGAACTTCTTAACTGAACAAGATAAATCCATCGAGTTTGGACTCATATGTTTTTGTATTTTGGTACTATATGATATCTAGAGACTATAAAAGTTTATTTCTTTAAAATTAATTTATTGAAGGTAATAACAGATTCAATAATTACTTTGCACCGATAAGGAGGTGATTTCATTTGATAACATAGAGGTCAAATAGAATAGCAACATCACAATAAAAAACATAAGTATTTAAAATATTTAATCTGTGTATTCTGTATCTATTAACTTCTATATTTCTGCAATTTCATTTTTGCAATGAGATTTGCAAAAATGTTAAATAAAACTATTTTTTTCTTAGATAAGTAGACACAACATGTACGAATTTTAACGTATATTTAAATAAAATTAAAATGTACTTGAATATATTATCCATGTATTAGTTTCTTCATCATCATCAACAACAGCTTTAAATAGTCCACTGCTAGATATAGGCCTCCCATTAGAAAGGAGGTTTAGGACTACTATACCACCCTGCCCAGACGGGTTGGTATAGGGTTTGTTACAAGTTTTTCTTCTCTTTTCAGTGCTATTGTCCTGCGTTAGCTCCCTTAGTCGCCTCTTACGACACCCACGGGATGAATAAGGGTGGTGACAATCCTTATTCCTAATCCCATACTTGTTTTCCTCTTGCACATTACAAATGTTTAATAATAAAAATTTGCTTACTTTATAACAACTGGTGTCAAAAAATAGAGTACTCATCGATTTAGCTAGGACAGTAAGATATGCATTAAAATAAAGCGTCGAAACTATCAAATTTATTTTATTTGACTGCCTTATTTATCATAGTAAATCCCGTGAGAATGATTTAAAACGGGATATTTATGAGTAATAGTCTATACATACATACATACTGCACAAGTAAACTTCAGAATTTAGTACGAATATACAGCAATATTAGTACAAACAGGACGTTAGCGCAACTCCTGCGCATAGGATCAAAGGCGCGATTTATGCGCCGTCAGATTGTGGCAATTTATGGTGTGTTAACGAATGCACGTGGTACTTCGTATGGACTGCGAGATAGTAATGTACGTGAGAGAGTAGATTTTTAACACGCTTTTATTACCTACGTACACTTTACTATGATACATTTCTTAGAAGTCAAAATGAACTTTATTATTGTCGTACATAAATTTTTAAACAATAATAATAAATTGGCACTTCTCCTACGCGGTAATCTAATCTTAAACTAAGTAGCAATGGTAACCACATCAGGAAAATCATTAAATTTAGAAAAAAATATCAGCATGATCATCAACAGACTATAACAGTTCACTGCTGGACGTAGGCCTCTACTATACCACGGTGGTCAGACGGGTTGGTATAGGGTTTGATTCAAGTTTTTCATCTCTTTGCAGTGCTGTTGTCCTGCGTAATTTGCTGCCTTAGTTGGCTCTTATGACACCCACTAGATGAATTGCGGTGGTGACATTCTGTATTCTTAATCCGTCACCACACGGATTAAGAATACGGAAAAAAAAACATTTAAGTATATTTATCCTTATTTTAAATCCACTAATCTAATCTATACTTAGGTTTAGATATCTTTTAATTATTAAATGCTTGTGCAAGCAAAGTATTTTATCAGTATTGTTTATCTGTTCACTCTGAAACATTACAGAGCGTTTGAAATAAAATAAACAATGTTGATGGCAAGTACATGTCATTTATGTAAAACAGAAACACTCGAGTAAGATCAAAGGGATCGCAAGCGCAGGAAGCGTTCAACTTCACCTATCAGTGATACAAAGCCGCGTTTCAGATCCACTCGAGTTGTGAGTGGAATAGTGACGTCACTAATTCTGTGTTATATCGTCATTATCTTTGCGTAATAAATCTAGCTGTCATGTTGTATTGATTTATTTTTACGAGCCGTTTTGAGCGGCACTAAACAAAGTGGTTCTGGAAGTTTCTGGGATAAGAGATGTTGTTTAGCAGATATGTTAGTGTAGTACTTGTCTTGAGATTTTTAACCGACCTGATTCGATTTTATTTTTATGTTTACGTTACGTTATTTTTTTACGTCCGTGTTGTGACGGATTAAGAATACGGAGTGTCACCACCCCTATTCATCCCGTGGGTGTCGTAAGAGCCGACTAAGGGAGCTAACGTAGGACAACCAGCACTGCAAAGAGAAGGAAAACTTGACACAAACCCTATACCAACCCGTCTGGCCAGCGTGGTATAGTAGGCTTAAACCTCCTTTCTAAGGAGAGGCCTATGTTCAGCAGTGGACTATTAAAGACTGTTGATGTTTGATGTGTGATGTTACGTTACGTTACATCATTTTTGCTTTTTATATTTTGATGCTAGACTCATCATTAAATTCTAACACCTACAAGAAATAAATCAAAGCCATTTTTATAGATGATTCAGCAAAAAATGATAAGCTACCTAATGTAATATCTCGGACAAGATCATGAAATCACTGCTTAATATCCTTTGTAACAGAACCGTCGTCACAAATTCACTGACCATATAATTAGCAAATCCACCACCGCGCCTCGGGCTAAAGGATAATATGACTACAATTTACCCTCGGTCATTACGTCGTTTGCTGGGTTAATGGGTAATCAAAAAACTACCTGTAAGTGGGCAGTTCTTTGTTCTTGTAATGTAATTATTTGTGGTAGGTTTACATGGCGACGAAAATCTTTGTATTTGAAAAGACACACATACTGGTAAAATAATTTCAGACCCATTGATTACTACAATGTTTTTGTAAGGCGTCTTTTTTTTATTTGTCTGATTTGAATTTAAAAATCGAACGTTGAGAATTTTGTTTTTGATGTGTAAAAACTTTTCTATTACTTCCGAGTGAACAGTGGGAGCGATTTCGTCAAAAGGGACGAAATTGTGTAACATGTAGCTAAGGGAAAGTACGCATTATTTGGATTAACAGTTGTAGGTAGGATGTCGGATGTTACACACTCGTTTTATATGTATGGATACTACTAAAGCAAGGGTCGTTTTATTTATTACACTTGAAATTAAGAGTATTTTTCGTCAGAAAATGTAACAATTATGAAATCGAACATTTTTATTTCATTTCCATCAAACACACACATTAAACTCCAGTGCTTGACGGAATGCTAGGCATCTCTAATTAAATGCTTTAGCACTCTTATCTCTACTTTCTGCATTTAATCTGACCCAGCTACTTTCTTCAGTTCATCTGCTTCGATTCTTTTTCTCTGCTCTAGGACACTTTTATTTTATGTAAACCATACCAATACAGCTTTTTTACTTACCGTATGATTAATTTTTTTCCTTAGTTTTTGCTAGCCCGTTGAGATCATTGTTGATTTGGCTATTCATCACAATATATATCGTGATTGATTAGGTTTTTTCATAAAAACTCCACTATAAATATTATAATAATTGAACATTTTTGATGTTTCAACTTATAAAGAGTTATGAAGAATAAGTAATTGAAGGATCGATAAGTGATTGTGTTTGTAAGTTGTTGTTAATGCTTTTATGACTAATAATTCATCATCTTCAGGTCCGTGTGGTGACGGATTAAGAATACAGAGTGTCACAACCCCTATGCCGTGGGTGTCGTAAGAGCCGACTAAGGGAGAAAACTACACAGAATAACAACACTGCAGAGAGAAGGAAAACTTGACACAAACCCTATATCAACCCGTCTGGTCAGGGTGGTATAGTAGGCAAAAACTAACTTTCTAAGGAGAGGCTTATGACCAGCAGTGAACTATTAAAGGCTGTTGATGTGATGATAATTCATCATCTTCCTCTAACTCTTTACTCAAATTTGTTTGAGATCGGCGCAATGAGTTTACTTCTCCCATTCTCCTCTATAATTCATCAGTGCAATGCTGATTTTCTATCTAGCCTTATTCTCTGTAACAAAATCTATCCATCTTTTCTTTTGTCGTCCTCTACTCTTTTATCCGTCAACTACAAGAGATAAAACTCTCTTTACTACATAATAAATATTATAAAACCTGTTCTATGGTAACCTGACAATACAAAACAAATGACACATCATTCTCATATCGTCATACGTCGTTCCGTCGCACAGTGTACCGCGTAGAACATGCTAGGTGGACAAAATTCATGTTATCATTTCCAGGAAATCTTATTTGCAAAACGTAAACAATACCCCCAAACCCCGAATTCCGAGAAAATGTTGTTCGTCAAATTCGCAAGTGGTGAGTCATAAGGGTCAGAAGTCAGGTAATGAGTTTAATGCAACCCTTTCAATCAATCAGTTGCAATTTAGCGATACTTTCGTGCACATCTCATAGTGGCATATTGTAATATTGTGAAAGTTTTTGAGATGGATATTAATACTGAGGGTAAGTACTATTTTTTAATGTATTTTTTTAATCATAATCTATTAATTTGAATTATCAGTATTTCTTTTAAATAGCCTATACGTTTTAGCGTATTTTTTTAAAAAAAAAAAACTTTGATAGGTCAGAATATACAGACATTCACCTCTATCCGGGCTAGTTTTTAGATATTACGTAGAAATAACTTTATTCTTCGTAAAAATACACATATTGTTTAGCACACTTCAGTACAACATGTTTTTTTTCTTTTTTTTTCAGAACACGTTTACTCTATTTCAAGGGTAGCCTTTCTTGAGGAGTGGTTGAAACACACGAAGAATGAAAAAAACTCGCGTGTATATGACTATCTTTCTTCAAAATTTCACTTTGGTGACATTACTGAAAGCAGCCAAAAAGAAATAAAG